TAAAAAATTTAAAAAAAAAATAATAAAATCTTAAAAACAAAAAACCTTTCACACTATATCCTGGTTAAATGGAGAGTCTAAAGTAGTTGTATTTCATAGCACTGAAAAACAATACTGAAAAATCCTGTGAAACTTAGGGATACACTTAACATGTTTAGAAAAGCAGGGAGAAGCAGGCGATTCCTAGCCCTAGGAAATAGGGTAGACTGAAATCTGAGTTGGGTTCTGGTCTGCATGTAAAAAGTCCACTATAGGGCTTCATTCCCGTGACTAAGGATAACCTCTCAATAGGAAGGGGAAAAAAAAAAAAGAACGGAGTTGTTTGGGTTTTTTAAAAGATTTTATTTTTAAGTAATCTCTACACCCAACATGGGGCTCGAACTCATGACCCTGACACCAAGAATCACACACTCTGGGGTGCCTGGCTTAGTCGTTAAGCGTCTGCCTTCAGCTCAGGTCATGATCCCAGGATCCTGGAATAGAGCCCCGGGTCGGGCTCCCTGCTCAGTGGGAAGCCTGCTTCTCCCTCTCCCACTCCCCCTGCTTGTGTTCCCTCTCTCGCTGTGTCTCTCTGTCAAATAAATAAATAAAATCTTAAAAAAAAAAATCACACACTCCACCAACTGAGCCAGCCAGGCACCCCTAAAGAAGAATGGAGTATTAAGAAGAACAAAAAGAACAAAGCTGGAAATATCACACTCCTGGACTTCCATCTATACTACAAAGCTATAGTAATCAAAACAGTATGTTACTGGCACAAAAATAGACACATGGATCAATGTAACAGAATAGAGAGCCCAAAGATAAACTAACTCTCATATGGTCAATTAATCTGACAAAAGAGACAAGAATATGTAATAGGGGAAAAGACAGTCTCTTCAATAAATGGTGTAGGCAAAACTGGACAGCTACATGCAAAAGAATGAAACTGAACCACTCTTTTAAATTATATACTAACTCAAAGTGGTTAAAGACTTAAATATAAGACCTGACAGGCAGTAAGCTTTTTGACATTGACCCTAGCAATAGTTTTTTGGATCTGTCTCCTCAGGCAAGGACAACAAAAGCAAAAATAAACAAATGGCACTTTATCAAACTAAAAGGCTTTTGTTCAGTGAAGGAAACCATCAATAAGATGAAATGGCAACCTACTGAATGAGAGAAGATATTTGCTAATGATATATCCAATAAGGGGTTAACATCCAAAATACATAAAGAACTCATGTAACTCAATATAAAAAAAAATTGGCACAGGACCTGAGTAGACATTCTTCCAAGAAGACATACAGATGGTCAATAGACACATGAAAAGATACTCATCATCAGGGAAATACAAAGCAAAACCACAATGAGGTAACCTCTCACCTGTCAGAATGGCTAGTATCAAAAAGACAAGAAATAACAAGTGTTGGCGAGAATGTGTAGAAAAGAGAAATCTTGTACACTGTTGGTGGAATGTAAACTGGTATAGCCTCTATGGAAAACAGTATGGACGTTCCTTGAAAAATTAAAAATAGAAAAAAATAGAACTAGCACATGATCCAGCAATTCCACTTCTGGATATTTATCTGAAGAAAATGGAAACACTAATTCAAAACGACATATGCACCCCTATGTTCACTGCATTATTTACAATAGCCAAGGCATGGAAGTAACCCAAGTGTCCACTGATAGGTGGAAGGATAAAGAAAATGGGATTATATATATACATATATATAATGGAATATTTCTCAACCATAAAAAAGAACAAAATCTTGCTATTTGTGACAACATAGACAGACCTAGAGGGTATTATGCTAGATAAAATAGGTCAGAGAAAGACAAATACCATTTGATTTCACTTATATGGAATCTAGAAAACAAAACAAATGAACAAAGAAAACAAAAAAGAAACAGACTCATATATACAGGAGACAAACTGCTGGTTACCAGAGTGGGGAGGGGTTGGGGGCAGGCAAAATAGGTGAAGGAGATTAAGAGGTACAAACTCCCAGTTATAAAATAACTCATGGGGATATAATATACAGCATAGGTAATATTGTCAATAATGTAAAAACTCTGGTGACAGACGGTAACAAGACTTTCGTGGTGACCATTTCACATTGTATATAGATATCAAATCACTATGTTATATACCTGAAACTATAGAATATTGTATGTCAATTATACATCAATTAAAAAAGTGAATGGAGGTGGGTTAGGGTGTTTTACTTTGCACTGATGCAATGGTAATTCCAATTTGATATTGTTGCCCAATGGCATAAGACAGTGTGTATCACCACTCCTTAGCAGATGAGACAGGACAAAACCAGCCCTGGGAGCATCAGTCTAGCAGCTACAAGTTCTTGTTCTGGAACATCCCCAGAGGAAGGGCCCAGAATGACATTTCTACTTTACCTTGTATAGTACTATAGTTTTAATTCACTTCAGAGAATGGTAGATCTGCTTATTACTTCTAGAACATTCCATAAAGGAAGGAAAAAGGGGAAGAGGAAAGGAAAGGAATACCGAGGCAAACAGAATGTTTATGCTCAGACCAAACCCCTGTGATCCTTATAATCAGAAATTGTTATAGCTAGAAGAGAGCTACTGAGAAAACTTGGGGCCCATAGGTTAAATGACTTATCCAAATACCTACGGCAAGTTAATGGCAGAGCCAAGATTCTTCAGCCTTCTGTGCTCCAGTCTAGTTTTTGACCTCCAAACTAATGGTTCTCAACCATGGTTACACATGAGAATTACCTAGAGCTTTTAAATGCCCAGGCTATACTCCAAACTAACTGAATTAAATCTTGTGGCAGGGGCACTGAGGTATCAGTATTTTTTTAGCTTCTAATGTGAAGCCATGGTTAAGAACCACTGTCCTAGATCATGGTGCCCCCTTCCCCCCAAAGACAAACAAATCAGAGATAAGGAGGATTCTGTGAACAGGTTTATTCAGATCATCTAGCAGAACCTCTTGGCAACTACCATAAACTCCAGGCCCTTCGAATTCTAAGCCAAGGTCAGATTGGCTACCCACGACCACTATTATCACCACCACTGGATTACACAGTATTATAGAACACAACTATGATAGCTTCATTTAACCCAAATTGAAATAGTTTTTCACAATCAGGAATTTTTTTGTCTTAAATGTTACAAATGATGTACCCAAGTCCAGCTGATTGTAGAACCAAGGAACGAGCCCTGAAGCTGCTGCTTGGGCCACCTGTGACACCCCAGGAGCTCCATCCTGTTTGTCAAGGAAAGGGCAGCATCTGCCCTTATTCCACCCCCAAACCAATCATCACCTAACCTCCAGTCTTCTTGCCAGTCTCAATTTTTCTCAGGACAGCACTTTACCTAATAGCTACCACATGTTAACTCACGAAAACTTACTACAAAAGCTTTTTTAAAATGTTTATTTGTATTAAGGAGTGGAATGGTGCAAGAGTACAAAGAAACTTAGGCATTTGGGCCCTTGTTTCCCTACTATTCACATTAGTTTGGTAAAAAGGAGATTAAGTAACATTAAAGGGAGTGGAAGAAATGAATATAAATATATCCAGGGTAGCCCAGTCCTCTAATTCATTAAAGGATGAACTGAAATTGTTGGCCCAATTCACACTTATGTGAGAGCCTACAGAAATTTTATTCCCTTTAACTGCTCTAGACCTGTGTGAAAAAGGGAAATGGACAACATTTCTATTACAAGACAGCAATCTTTTATTGAAACTTTTTTTTTGTCTAAAACTATGCATGGAGATTAATCTCTTGTTCATAAATTAGGATAAGTCTAACATCACTATTCCAAACCGGCAGTATTTACAAAAATGAACCCTTTCTTTACTTTATCACCAGGTTCACAGAACTAAATTTTAAACCAACTTCAGTCTAGCTTTTAAAATCTTCCTGCCATCAAATGCCCAGCAGCCCTTATGGGGGAAGGGGCAGCCTTTTGACAGCAATATTCATCATTCACCAGGAATGTAGAACCACAAGTGAACAACAACAAAAAGTTTAAATCATTCCAAACAATTCCTATTTGCTTTCCAAAAGCATGCTTTGTCTAATTCTCCCTTTCTATACAGACAGGGGGAGAGGGACCCCAGAGAGCATAATAATGTTAATTAATCTCTTAAAAAAGTGAACAAGACGGTTTAGTGTGTGTGCAGATGAACTGCCATGGATGACACTAGCAGATAATAAAGTAAGCTTTAAACCCCGTTAACAGGTACTTTGACAATTGGCCAGCTCAAATAGATACTTTTAATCGGGATCAAATGTGCAATTTTTACTTTCCAGTTAAATATATTGCCAAAATCTTTCAAAGCAGATAGAGAATAGGCTTCTCGGAAATTCAAATTGAAACGTTAAATAATAAAAAGTACCAGCTTATTATATAGTTTCTGACAAATGTGTTGGCTGTCAGAAAGTAATTCTACCTCAGTTGCTAGTAAAAAGGTGAATCTAGTATACACATAAAATGGCAATATTACAAGACTGTAGTGTCACCTGTCAAAACAAGAATATCTAGAATGGAATTTTTAGTAAACACTTGGAGATGAAGGGCAATCAGAATACAAGAGAAAGCAAAATCCACATAAATTAATTCCTAATTTGAGAAATCAATAGAATGTATGCATAAATTGATAAATACTGTCTCCATAGGTCACTAATTCCAAAGGACTAGTTAGTAGTTATTTTCTAACTAAATTATTATAGGACATTCTGGTGTATGCTCTCTTCTTGTGATCAGTTTGTTCTGGAAAGACTCCAGTAAGCAGGTGCCCTTGAAAACAGCTCAGCAGAAGGCGGCTCTGAGGCAATCACTTCATTTATAAATTTGCCAGATAATAAATACCAAGATGACAATAATCACGGACAGGACAAGCACCAGGATACAGATCTTCTTGCGAGATTTTTTCTGAGGAGAAAAATATATAAAGAACACATTCATGAGACAAGTAAAAATTTTAATATCTATGACTCCAAGAGTGTTTCATAAATCTGCCTCCTTGTAATCCCAGCATTAACTCTATCCGTGCATGGCTATGCAGAGACCCTCCCAAAATCTCAACAGTTATCAGCGCAAGGCAGTAGTGCAAATTCTAATTCCAGATCCCCTAATACATTTCTGCAAAGGGATTGTTTATACCTATGCTGCTAGGCATTATTTGTAATAAAATAAGTTATTTGTGCATGTGTATTTTAATAAAGGTTTTATACCTATTATAAAATTTTTGTTTACTGTAAAAAATACAGACAAGCAGAAAGAAAATAATCATCTACAGATAAAACCACTGACACTCTGATTGTATTTTCTCATGATCTTTTATCTATGCATATTGTTATTTGACAGAATTGGGATCATACTGTATGATGGTTGATGTCTTTCTCACTTAACATTTTAGCACAAAAATGTTATTATAAACTCTTCATAGACATCTCTTTTAACTCCCACATAATATAATATTGAGTGGATGTATATAATTTACTTCATAAGTCCTTTACTGTCTAACACTAACATCATCATTCAGTTTTTAAAAGGAAACACTATTATTAAATACAAATTTCCTTAAGAACATTTCCAGGTAAAATACAACTATCTTAGGAACATGGAAAATGATTGAAATGCTGTTTATTAAAAAGCCATACAGCACCAAACGGAGAGGAAATGAAGAGGACCTCAATCACAGTACCTGCACACTTGAGATAAAGACCCAGGTAAAAGTCACAAAACCAGAGTTTCAGCTAATATGTAAAAAAAATAACACTTCATACAAAGTAGAACAATTAACTCCCATTTATTCATAGAAAAATGATAACCCCCTACTTATTCACAAATAGCAGTTGGAATTGATTTTCTGTCCATCCTCTGTGGCTGCAGTCAACATAAAGTAGCCACAAAGTCCTACTTTGTACCTATTACTATACTAATTGACAAATTTTAGCTGATCAGAATATAAAATTAGCCTTATACCAGATCTAGGTATCATGCCAGCTTCTGGGATTAGCCTTGTAGCTAAGAGCCTTCTGTGTCAGTTTATTCAAGGACTGATGTCTTTTTGTAGATTTCTCCACAGAGGAAAATATTAAAAGTGGACTGCGACTGCAATTACGACCACTGGCCCCCAGCTGAAGCCTAAGCCAAAGCCTGCAGCTGTTCTCAGTGTGTCAGTGAGCTGTGATGGCTCATGAAGTCTGCAATACAGTGACTTTCTTTGGTATGTGCTCTTACCTGATAGTAAGCAGCTCGCTGTAACTGATCAGTGGCTCTCTCTACATGTACCTCTGAGCTTTCCACATTGGCTTCTATGCTGTCTGCAAATAAACAGAAGGGCAGTGGATGTTTTTACCACAATCAGATGTTTCAAGATTGCAAATTAAACACACTCTTGATGTTGTGGGTCCTGGTTTCACCATTCCACCATTCCAACTATCCAGCCATGGAATCAAAAGTTACTAACTGGGTAAGACGATAGCTCTATTCTTCGGAAATAAACACTGAACTATTTTAGTGGCAAAGGGTTGTGAAGTACGCAACTTACCCACGAATGGTTCAGAAAAAATTATGTATACACATGTATATTTAGAGAGAAAGAGAGCAAGTCTAAAGCAAATGGGGGTAGAATGTTAACAAGAGGTAAATCTGGGTAAAGGTTATAAAGGAATTCCTTGTAGTCTTTTTATTTTTGCAACTTTTCTAAACTTGAAATCATTTCCAAATAAAAAACTTTAAAAAAAAGGTTACTAATCCCAAAATGGCTTAAGTTTCTGGAGATAAAAGCTGGGAAGCCAACAGCTATTTCCCTAAACAGCCAAAGACTTAACAAGAGGCAATGGCAAGTGAGCTGAGTAATCACGGAGGTCTCACTTTAGTTTCTACATCTGACAATATAAAAAGGGGGCCAAAAAATGAATTTAATAATTTTTAAATGGCATTCGTAATTTCCTAAGATATGTCTTACTGACTTCTTCACACACAAGTACTACTATCAACTCACCTTGAGGTTAAAGGTATCAATGATACATACCAATTAGATCACCTTGATCATGGATCATCATGGCCAAATCTTTAAATATTTGATTGACATCCAAAATATCAGCCTAAGGAACATAAAAAATAATTAACATCAAGCAACATGTTAGACAATTCAATTCCTCTACTTAGCTAAAATTTTGGTGTAAACATAACACATGTGTTTCTAAGGCTTATAAATCATGCTTTCTCCATAAACTGAAAATGAAAATAATTAATATCTACTAAATGCCTACTATGTGCCAAGAACTATACCAGGTAGGTAATTAAAGCACAGACTCTTGAAGCCTGACTGTCAGCTAGAGAGAACCCAGTCTTGCTGTGTGAAGTTAATCCTCCACAGTCTTGTGGTACCATCTTAGGTTAAGAACCTCTCTGGGCTGTCCCCTCTAAAATGTGGACAATGACAGTACCCATCTCCTACTAAAGTGCAGAAGCACTAAATAAGTTGATATATTTAAAGTTCTTGGAACTGTGCAATACGTACTTTGTAAGTGTCAGCTATGATTAATCATTACTTAGTTGGTCCTCATGACAACACAATGAGACATGTATTATCCCCATCGTACAGAAGAGAAAAGTGGGGCTCAGAGAGGTTTGATGACTTGTCCCAAGGTCTCAAAGCTAGCAAGTGGCAGAGCTGAGAATTAAAAGTTCATGATGTTTTCATTATGTTACTATGCCTCTTTGATATTTACATTAATCATTCACTCTATGAAGTCAAGTATCTTTGAGGATAATAAGGCTCAGAGAGGTTATATAACTGTCTAGTCACAAAGCTGGTCAGTAAGGAAACTAGGGATTGCAGCCAGAATATCTCTAAAGCCCATGCTCTTTCGATTGCAATACACTGCCTCTCAGAACGCTACAATAAAAAACAATGCTTGAAAGCCACGACTTCCGAATCATAACTTGGCAAGACTAGTTCTTACCAGAACATCAAAACCTTAATTACTTGCTAAGAATCTACTGTAGTAGGGACAGTCTGCTAGTTGCTGTGGATACAAAAAGGCTTACTAGCTAACGGAGGTGGGGGGTGGGATGAGCACACAATAAGATAAATAAGAAAAGTCATTATATAGGAAGTGACTACTAAACGGTTATAGGAAGGTGTGTAGAGGAAGGCTTGCAGAAGCAGCAGGACTTGAGTTGTACCTTTTTTTTTTAAAGCTTTATTATTGGGGCACCTGGGTGGCTCAGTCGTTAAGCGTCTGCCTTCGGCTCAGGTCATGATCCCGGGGTCCTGGGATCTTTTTAAGATTTTATTTATTTATTTGACAGAGAGAGACACACAGCGAGAGAGGAAACACAAGCAGAGGGAGAGGGAGAGGCAGAGGGAGAAGCAGGCTTCCCGCTGAGCAGGGAGCCCGATGCGGGGCTCGATCCCAGGACCCCCGGATCATGACCTGAGCCGAAGGCAGATGCTTAACAACTGAGCTACCCAGGCACCCCTTGAGTTGTACCTTAAAGCAAAAGGGAAGCCATATAAACAAAAAGTTAATTGAGTTAAAGAGCAAATAGCCCAGCTTGGTTATAACATGGGTGTGAAACCGTGATTTATAATAAGAAATATATATTTAGTCTTCATCCCATTCCTGGATCAGAGCTCCTAAAACCCTTGAAATTTCCTAAGTTGTAAAAGAGAGAAAATTAGCTTTTGTTACTTATAACACATCCCTTTCAACCACACCTGAGCTTAAAGAACAAGCCCCTCAGGATGGGGGCTGGTTGCCAGGGGAACCAACTGTGTTATCAGAGGGCTGGAGGCTGAATCAACCACCAAGAGCCAATGATTTAATCAATCATGCCTACATAACGAAGCCTCCATAAAAACCCTAAATGGCAGGACTAAGAGTGCTTCTGGGTTGGTGAACACAGAGGTCTAGGAGAGTGGTGCAGGTGGAGAGGTCATAGAAGCTCCTCACCCCTTCCACATATCTTGCCCTGTATATCTCTTCCATCTGGCCGTTCCTGGGTTGTATCCTTTTATAATAAACCAGTAACCTAGTAAATAAATTGTTTTCCTAAGCTCTGAGCTGCTCTAGCAAATTAATCAAACCCAATGAGGGGGTCATGGGAACCTCCAACTGATAGCCTGTCAGTAAGCATAGGTAACAACCTAGACTTAGCTGGATTCCCAAGTCGGGGGGAGGGTTTGTGGGACTGAGCCCTTAAGCTGTGGGATCTGATGCTAACTCCAGGTACAGTGTCAGCACTGGGTTAAATTGTAAAACACTTAGCTGGTGTCGAAGGATTGCTTGATGTGGAAAAAGCCCACACATTTGGTAGCCAGAAATGTCAGATGCGCAATGTGAGAGTCGAGGAGACACAACCTCTATTCCATTAGAATAGGATATTAGATGTATATTAGATGTAGGAAATGACTGGATATGAAAATCCAGTCCCAGCTAAGGCACTCGGACTTAATGCTGAATGCAGAATTTGTGAAGCGCCTATTATGTTCCTGACGTCCTCTACCTTACATTCCTTTCCTTAGCTCTGTGTTTCACTCGACTCTCTGCTATAACAGTATTTCTAACGTTAGAGAACCAAGTCAATGGTTAGTTGCAGTAGGTGAAAAGAGAAAAGATAGGACATCTTTGAAGGCAATAAAATTATCAAACTTGAGGATGAACTGTGACACTGATGGTCTCTAGGGCAGTGGGTCTCCACCCTGAATGCACATTATAATCACCTGGGAAGTTTGAAAAAAAAAATCTTGTGAATATTTGCCCATTTTTAGCCTAAAAAAAAAAAGGAATTTCACATAGTCAAAACTAATAGTTGGCATGGGAGGGAGAACAGCTGGGCATTTGGGGGAAAAAGTCTTCAAGTGACTCTAAGGTACAGTCAGATCAGAGCCACTGCCACAGATGAAGGTCATGGAGGAGCTCCAAGTTTCTCCTCTCTACAAACCCCCTCCTCCTCATTGCCCACCCCCCGCTCCAGGGATGGCAGTCCTCTAGCTGCATGGAGGAGAAAATTACTCAGGTTTAAGAATATACGTGTCACATGAAAAAGTGCTCAATATCGCTCGGCATCAGGGAAATCCAAATCAAAACCTCAATGAGATATCACCTCACACCAGTCAGAATGGCTAAAAT